ATTTGTTTAGAAAAAAATAAAATAATTTAATTAATTCAATATAAAAAATAAAAAAATTATTTATTTTCGATTCTTATTCGGTTCTTCGGTTCTTGGTCTAGACCTGAGACCCGACTCAAACTCATCGGTTCTCGATTCGGGTACCCGTTCGGGTATTTAATTTATGAAGAAACGCTCGATTCAGTTCGAGTTCGGTTTGGTCCGGTTTGGAACTTTTGGACACCCCTACTTTAAATCAGTTTCTTTTGAAAACTCTTTTACAGCATCTCCAAGAGACTCTTTAAATGAGATATTCTCTATATATTAGAGAGCCAACATTTAACATTTTAATTTAGAGAATGTGCTTGGCTCTTCAAATCCGAATACGCTCTTTATAATTAAATGCATTCAAATTGTTTCAATTTTCAATGTAGGAAAACAATAAAATAATCTAAAGAAAAACAAGTTAAAATTAAAGATAAACAAAAATAAAAAATATTTTTTGGGAGTAACAAAATTAAGTGTTAAATATAAAAAGCTTGTTGGAGTAATTCAAAATTTTAACTCTCTAAATTTATAGATACTTTCCAAATGATAGAATATGCTCTTTTAAAATAGAGAATCTATTGAAGATTCTCTTAATCAGATAAAACAACTTCAGAAAATTATCCAGACAGTACACCAAACAGCTTAGTTTCCAAACCAGAACCTGGAAAGGGGTATACGGTGAATAGTTCGTACGTGATAGCATTTTGCGAAGGGGTAGTAGCATTCTTTTCGAGTCACTTAGTTTTGATCGGATCATGGCCTTCCGTGCTTGTGCAGTCTCTTGGTACATAGCCGGGCCTCGTCCAACGTTGAAGAACCTGTCCGTAAATGCAACAAAAAACAAAATCTATTACCAACCTACCCATGCCTTCCATCTTCAGATTGATTCATTGCCTCGTATATACTTTAGGCCCTTCGGCTAAACTTCCTGAATCCCGTCACAAAATCTGGACAAGTTTCCCCATTTTCTTTGCTAAATGCAATTGTAGTTTAGGCTCCTCAATGAAATGTAAACTGCGATTCTATACACCCATACAACAAATTACTTACAATCATACTTTCACTACCGCACTTAGGAAACTGGCTTTGGACAGAGTGAATA